TTATTATGATAGTTATAAATAAGAAAATATTTAGAGAGAGAAAAGAGGATAGGGCAAAAGGGGTGTAGTGTAACACTAGCTTTTATTTGGACCACATTTTTTTATTAATTTTATATACTTTTTTTTTCCTTTTCTTTATTGCAATAAATATTAAATTTAATATACTATTATTTTACAATATGAGGATTAGGTTAAAATAATCAAGGATTAAAATTTATAATTCCATCCATATTTACCATGTTTTGTCTCATATGTAACACACTTTTTTGACCATTGAAATATTCTGGTTGAATATTGCTATATATAGTCTAAGCAGTCTAATTTATCAGAAACCAGTAAAAGAAATAACAATTATTTTATCTTAGATTTTTTTTTTCCTGGTTGAATATACTGACACACATAATTTGTTTTAGATTTTTTTGTGTTTACTGAAAATTGAATAGTGACTAGACCTACAGGCTAAAAGATTTTACGTAAGGACCAGAAATTTGTCTTGTTGTGTTATAAGAGCTTGTTGATAATGAAAATTTGATTAAAAGAATTGGTAAATTATGGTTAGGAATCCCTAAGGTAAGATCAAATTACGAAAATTCCCTCATGTTTGGGTAATTACAATCGCACCACTCAATTATGAATCTTTTTTCACATTCGCTCATGTTGTGTCAAATTTAGTGGAATCTTCTAGATTACGTGTAGTATTCTTCAATTTGTACCATTTACCCCCATTCGAGTCTCACATTTTGAAACAAAATGATCGTAAGACGTGTCTCTTGGTTTGTAAATATCAGATTGTAGTGCATCAGAAACTTCATTTTTGCACAAATCGAGTAGAAACTAGAGAACATTCCACGAAATCTAGAAAATTATATTGAATTTGACACCATAAGGGTGGGCGTGCAAGAAAATTCATAGTTGAGGAGGTGGTTATTATAATTACTTAAACATTAGGGTTTTTTTTCGTAATTTGACCTTACCTCTGGTGTCGTAATTTATTTAACCTAAAAAAAACCAAGCTTTTGAGATCCTACACCGGGTGAAATACACCGGGTAGATCTTTACCATTCATATACACACAAACACACACACACCCACATTGGTATGTGTAGATTAACGGTAAAAAATCACCCGGTGTAACCTTCACCGGGTGTAGGATAGATAAAACCAAAAAATCATTACTCAGATACACTAATTTATGAGCACATGAAAATACATACAAAAAAAAAACACACACACACAGTAACTGTATTGCATCAGATGTGGTGTGTGGAAGTTGCATTAATTGGTGTTTCTTGCAAGTTATTAAAACCAAGTCCTTTTTCCTCGGATCCTACTTTTTTATTAAAAAAGTTATTATGGGCAAAAACATTTGCAAATAATAATGTTGTTGCCTGCACAATTATTTGCTTTATGTTACTCACACATCATCATACATACATATATTTATAAAAGATAAAAGAAATGGAAGTTTATTACAACATATTTCCATTTAATATGCTCTAAAATTTGTCTGTTTCAGACAATAATAGTGGGAAACCCCATCACTTAGCCAGGATTGATGGATCTTTGGTTAAATTAAATCACCAAAAATAGTGGTAAATCTTTGCACTTCTCTTTTTCTATATGATGACAAATTTTTTTATTCATTTTTTTTTTTCACAAAAGAACATACTAAACAGTACAAAATACATCAAACAAGATTGACATTTTTTTTTTTAATTATTATAATTTTTTACTTGTGTTTATGAAAATAATAAGTAAATGATTGTAAGAAAATCTGTCCTGAAATCTTGGCAGAAGAACTGAAGGTAACAACTGTTGAACAATATGACCTATTTAATAGGGATTTGTCATCAATGGACAGGAATCTTTCCTTTTCTTTGTTTCTTCAAATATTCTCATAATTATTTTTTATTTATTCTCAAAAAATAAAAAAAAAATTTTATTTTTTATTTTTTGCATCCGATTTTCTCAATATTTCAATGCAAGCAGTTACACAACTTTAGGCATGTGACCATTATTTTCTCTGCTCTCTTCAAACGAAGTTGATAGTGAAAATTCAAACCTTTTGGATATGGTCTTCTCTGTCACCCAAACAAAATAAAAAAAGAAAACCCTACATAATTCACTGACAGTCTTTCTAGTTTCTTATACTCTGTTTTCCTACACAATTTTCCTAATCCATAATTTCATTTGTCCTTTCCTTACAAATCAATTTACTCCGGCTACTTCAAAAAAAAAAAAAAAAAAAAAAAAAGAATTATGCAAGAACTTTTTATTGCATAATCCTACCAAGAAATGAAGTTCAGACACGAATCAAAAGTGGGTTCTTGAAATTCACTTCAATTGGTATGTTTCCACACATGCCCTTTTCGATTTCTTGAACTTTTGGTTTCGTTCTTTGTCGGAAAAAAGAAAAAAAGTGTGTAAAGATCGGATTTTTATTTGCTTCAATAGATCACAATTAGGGCTCGGAATTTTCTTGAATGTGAGCAAAATGAGAGATTTCCCTTCTTGCTTTGGGGAAAACGGTGTGCAAGTTGCGGATGCTTCTTGTTCAAGTGCAGTGGTGACTAAAAAAGCCTGTCCGAATTCAATCACCTGTGTGTACAAGTGTAAATTGCTTCGTAAATCTTGCTTGATCACCCTTTCATGGAGCAAAAACTTGATTGGCCAATGCCTTAGTGTCGAAATCGACGATTCTTCGCACCATTGCATCTGCAAGATAGATGTGAAACCCTCTCTCTTCTCGAAGAGGAAAGGGTCCAAATTCTCCCAAGTGGACTCAACCGAAATCGAAGTCTTTTGGGATCTTTCTTCGGCTAAATTCGGATCCAGGTCGGAGCCGTTAGAGGGTTATTACATAGCAATCGTCTCGAGCGGTGAGATGCTTTTGTTAGTTGGTGACTTAAAGAAAGAAGCACTCAAGAAAACGGGAGCCATCGCTTCGCCCTTGAATGCAGTCTTGATTTCAAAGAGGGAGCACATTTCTGCAAAGAGGGTGTACCAAACGAAGACCCGTTTCTTCGAAAACGGGCCGACACACGACCTGAAAATCGAGTACGACCCACATTCGAGCGGAGATCCGGGTCTTGTTGTTCGTATTGACATGAAGACGGTTATGCAAATTAAGCACTTGCAGTGGAATTTTCGAGGGAATTACTCGATCTTGATCGATGGGCTTGCGGTCGAAGTGTATTGGGATGTGCATAATTGGTTGTTCGGGCCGGGTTTAGGCAATGCTGTTTTCATGTTTCAGACAAGCTTGTCGGTTTGTGATTCGCCGGTTTTGTCTTGGAGATGCTCGGAGAGTTTGAGGGAAGCTAATGCACAAGGTCTTGGCTTCTCTTTCTTTTTGTATGCTTGGAGGAATGAATAAAGATTGCATTTTTATTCTATTATGATATTTATTAGATTCTCTTTTCCTGAGTTTTCAGTAATGGATATAATCTTCTTCTTCTTCCCCTTATAGAATCTTGTTTAAGTAATGTTAGGACTGCAAATTGGGGCCAAATTCTGCCGATTTCGATCTAAATTTCCAATTTGTTCGTTCCGATTCTTGATTTTTTCGGAAATATTGGACAGTAATCAGGTAGATTAATATTTTAATTTAAAAAAAAAATTGATTTTTTTTTTCGAAAATGCTAATTTCGATTCTGCGACAATATCCATCCATCCCAACAATCACACGAAGCAATTCGACAACAATAACAAGAAGTAATAAACGAGTTTTTCGGTGCCAACTGTAGTGGTCTCCATCACTATTATGTTGATGGTAACTTCAGCAGCAGGGCTTGACCTTTCTTACACTAAGTTGTCTTGTTTCTAAACTAAACAAAGTTCCTTAATAACACTATTTATTAACTTTGGCAGCAATGCTCTATGGTAATAACAATGGAAAAGTTATTTTCCTGTCTGGTTTTCTACTAGGTTTTGGTAGGTAAAAAAGTTGTTTGGTCTCAACTTTCAAAAAGTTGCCACTACTTGTAACAACATGCTTCAATAATTTCAAAAATATAATCAATTTATTAGTATAACAACATACTATTGAACATAAGGTAACAAACTCTGATAATTAACATACCTAGGAGCATAAGCACTGTATTGCAGCCACAAATCATCACCTCCTAAAGATATATGACACATTTAAAACAAGATTCACACCAACAAAACAGATTTATTAAACAAAAAAAAAAAATCTTTACTCAACAAACTACACAAAAAAAGCATATAAGTAAACTCCACATTATTTTACCTCAATGCCCGGTTTTCTTTTTTGCCGTGGCCAAATCCAAACTCGACCCAAAAGCCCGATTAAGAGCCTCACCACACCAACCATGCCCATCATCTACCGTAGGCATCCTCACCTCCATAAACGAGGGGCCAACATTTTCGGCCCCATGCATAACGACCCCCGCAAAAGCTCTTAAAACATTCGAAGCATCGATATCGAAACACACATTAATTTCCGGGACGCCCTTTGGAGCCGAGGGTATTCCTGTAATTTTGAAGAATCCCAAAAGATGGTTCTTTTCAGCCACCTCCTCGTTACCCTCGTAGACAACTATCAAAGCCTCGGATTGGTTATCGTGCACCGTTGTGAAAATCATTTCTCTTTTAACAGGCACTGTTGTGTTTCGATTTATGATATGTATAAAAGTGTTTCCATCTGCTCTTATTCCGATGCTTAATGGAGTTGCTTGGATCGTTAAAAGATCCAAACTTCCGAACGGGTCGTTGATTCCTGAAGCTACCGCCCCTTCCAATGCCGCCCCACGAACCGCCGCCTCAAACGGGTCGATACCCGTATACAATTCTCTCTTACAAACACCTGTAATAATATTTCGCAGCTTCGGAATATTCGAGCATCCACCGACAAGAATCACATCATTCAAATCGTCTGCTTCAACTCTTGCATCGCGTAAGCATTGTCGTATTAGCCTCGCGCATTCGTCAAAGATGTCTTTATTCACTTCCTCAAATTCTTCCCTTTCAAGAATTTTGCTTACTTTCCTCCCATTTCCCAAATCGACATCAATTCGAACATTCGTTTGTGAGGAGAGTTTGTGGATTGAATCCTGCGTGACCAATCGAAGCAACCCCATCTCCCTTATCTCGTGGCGCCCACGGTTAGAAAAACGAGCCTCCATGTCGGGTGACAGGTGGCGCATCGTGTTGAGAAGTATATCCTCGCCGCCCAAACAATTTCCCGCCAAGGCTTTGATCTGAGAAACACCACCTGCAGTGGCGGTGATAGCTACATCAGTAAATCCAGCCCCCATATTGACTATCAACGCGACTTTCTCACTCCCACTTCCCATATTCTCTTGCAGATTTATCTGCTGCTGCTGAGCGTATAGCAAGGCGACAGCTGTCGGCTCGGGCATCAACCTCAAAACTTGAAGCCCAGCCATAGCACAAGATCTTTCGATACGAGTGAGTTGGAATCTGCTGAACGAAACGGGAACGGTTATCACAACGCTACGAACGGGTCTTTTCAGCTGGTCTTCAGCCATTGACTTAATTTGAAGAAGAAATATTGCAAGGACTTCTTCAGGGGTGGTTGACCGCCACGTGTCGTTCACGAAGGCGGCTACGAACGGTCGGGTCCCGATGTTTAGAGTTTGGACGAGGAACGGGAGTGTTTTGCTGGCGTGGACAACAGGGTCAGTGTCGGCACGGCCGATCAGACGTTTTATGTTGAAGATTGCTGCGCCGGATAATAACTCGCGGTGGTCCCCGCCGGCGGTGTGGTGGCTGGTGGTTATGCCGGTGGCGGGGAGCTCGTCTTTGAAGGTGACGTAGGAGCGGATAGAGTTGCTGAGGAGTTCAATTTGGGAGCCTCGCCAGATGGCAACGTTCGATTGGAAGGTGCCGATGTCGATTCCGATTGCGATCTCCGGGAACGGAGGTGACGGTTTTTCTTCTTCTCCGGTTGTTGTTGTTGTTGTTTCGCTGTCGGATGCTACAGTGTATGCTGCTGGTTCATCCATTCTTGAAAATCAAAGATTCCCTGAAATGATTCTATTTTTTATTTTAGGCTCCCCACACAGGCATTTTGACAAACACAAAGACATCATCACTTCATATGCTAGAAAAATCTCTGGTATGCTTAAATACGTTTTAAAATGTGAAATCATGCTCATTGATACAGCTAATCAAGAACTAAAACCAAAAGGATGTTTGATTTTCAGTTAATTACTCAAAGTGATAATCAACAATCAAAGCAAAGCAAGAAACACACACAGGTTACTCAATTAACTAACTAAGTAATTACCAGAAGCAAAAACACAATGCATAAAAACAACCCATTAATCAAACAGCAAAATGCAGAGTAAAATACTTAAAATAGCAAGTATAGAATGTAACGGAAAATATGAACTTACTTGATTTGTTGAAACACTCTTGAGAGAGAGAGAGAGAGAAGTGTTTGAAGTTGCAGGCGAATTGAGGAGAGAGATAGAGAGAGAGAGAGAGAGAGAGAGAGTATTGAATGGGGAAGAACGAAATACACGATACATACAAAAGGTGCTGACTACATATTCTAGAGCTTGTTCGAAACTCAAAACGTGAAGTTTCTGGAGACGACGATCTGAAAAAAAAAAATATATATATTTTTAAATTAGAGCTAATTAATTATTTTACCAACTTGGGCTTTTAATTTGGGCTTATTAATTGAATTGTTAGGCCCATCTTTTGAGTTTACTTGTAAGCTAATTTTAGTTGACGTTGCAAAAGTTTTTAGAAACAGCTTCTGAGCTTTTTTTGCACATAATCTATTTTTAGTTGTTTGTAGATTCTGAATATTGTTTTTGCTTTTTTTGCTTTAAGCTGTCATTTGGAAGGCATTATTGTTCTGCTTTTTCCTATTTAAAGTTTACGTATTTACAATCACTATCAACTTTTTAGAAATAAACACTTAATATCGACTTACTTCTCAATCACTAAGTTATGTTCTTTTTAATAAGCTTGTCGCAAATGACCGTTATTCTTTGTTGATTGATTTGACAATGAATAATAGTTCCAAATATTTTATTTTTTATATCAAATAATACCATTAAAAAAAACATTAAATCGTGGCATATATAGTATCACTTCAATTTGTATAAATATTTAAAAATCATGAAATTATCGAAAGTATATTTTATATTAATAAAATATAAAATTACGTTTTTCTTTTTGTGCAAAAATATACAACTTTTGTAAAACATATACGTTTTGTTGGTTACATTATTTTACACGAGATGTGGCATCTACAAACGCACCTCTACACACCTTATTTAGAGATATTATAATGAATAAAAATAGCCTATAAACTTATTAACCAAACACTTTAAAAATTAATAAATAGAAAAACGTAAAAACTTATCAATTCTTAAAACAACTTATCAGATGCAAGAGCTTATCAGCTGTTTAAAATAAGTTTAGCAAAACGAGCTCTTAATCTATGTGAAACTTCCCTAAAACCCTTGTGTAAAAAGATGGAAATAATTCTTAGGTATTTTAAATTTGGTTTCCTCTTGAGCAAGTATCCATTTTCATATCAAAATTGTTTTTTAAGTCAAAACTCAAAACTAGGGGTGTGAACGAGCCGAGCTCGAGCCGAGCTCGCCTCTTTTGGCTGGCTCGAGCTCGAGCTCGAGTCTATTTTGTCGAGCTCGAGCTCGTCGAGTTCTTCTTTTTTTGGCTCGAGCTCGAGCTCGTGTTAATTTTGTCGAGCTCGAGCTCGAGCTCGAGCCCAATCTCTTTTTTTTTTTTTTTTTTAAATATTTTTTAATTATTATTTTATTATTAAAAATTATTTTAAAAAAATAAAAAATAAAAACTAAATTATGATTATATATTTTTTTAATATTTGTATTTATTTCTATAATATATTATATTATTATACATTATTTAAATAAAAATAACATATAAAAAATAAAAAAAAATAAAAAAATAAAAAAATAATAATAAATCCGGCTCGCGAGCCGGCTCGCGAGCTGATGAACAACTAAAATCCGGCTCGAGCTCGGCTCGTCAGAAAGCTCGAGCTCGCGAGCTCGAGCTCGAGCTCGAAAACCTCGAGTCCGAGTTCGAGCTTTTTACGAGCCGGCTCGTCGAGCTCACGAGTCGGCTCGGCTCGTTTACCACCCCTACTCAAAACCCCCAAATTTATTTATTTATTTATTATTTCGTCACACACATCTAAAACCCTAATCAGTCATTTTTCTTCTCCTTTTTTCAATTCGAAATCCAACGGTATCTCATTTCCTTTCTGGTTTCAACAAATCACACACATTCTAAAACCCTAGCGCGTGGGGTTTAATCTTCTCAATCGTTTCCAAGGTATATTTCTTAATCTCTCGAATTTTCCGTTTCAATTTCATGTATGATTTAGGTATTTTCGTGATAATTCCAAATCTTAGTTCATCGTATGGGGAATTTAGTTCACAATTTTACCTCTCGAAAAGTAAGTGATTTTGCAGTAATTGTATTCGTTTATGGAATCATTTTACTTGAAGAACACAGTCTTGTTTTTTTTGGTTGAATTTAGTTTTTGCTCACTGGAATGCGCATAATTAGATGAGTTATTAAAGTGGAGTGAGGTAAAGTTCGGTGCATCGAAGCTTCGATTTTGTGTTTTGCTGTAGTCTCTAAAATTAGAAATAAAACAGACACTTCAATATGAAGATTTGCTCGTATTAGCCAGTCACGAAGTTAGTAATGGGAAGATTTTGATTGGTTAAATGAGGCGATTCTCGTATCCGACTTTTTTAATTTTCACTGGAGTCTGCGTAAACCAAATTCGCCTGTCAGCTTGTAAGCAAATATATTGATTGGATTAAGATGCATATGATTAGTACGTGTCGTAAAATTGGTAGCAAGACGTTAATTACTGAAGCCTTTTTTCCGAAATTGGTTACTAAAGCATTTTTTTGGTCTATTCAAGAATAAGTAACTTTTTTCCTCTACGTTTTCGTTTTCTGTTCTAATCTCTTATATAATATGGTATAACAATTTACTATTATTGCACAGACGCCCCTCATGAGTTCGATTCCCGAGAGTGAACCACAAAATGCTTCTTCAAGCACACAAGAATCACCACCGAAGCCCCCAATCGAGCCTATCCGCTTGCCTACAGTAGAGGAAATTCGAGGGCAGGACATTTGGAATAACTGTCTCGTACGCAGTGTCGTCAGTGGAGTAATGGGTATTTTCCGAAACCCCATTTTGGTTTGTTTAATTACTTTTTATATGGTTTTGGACAATTAAATTTTAATTTTAGTAGTATGCAGGGGGTGGATTGGGTTTAATGATGGGATTATTTCTCGGTGCACTCGATAATCCCGTAATGCAAGATCAAATGACTGGAAAACAACAGATAATTTACCAAGCGAAGCAGATGGGTCAAAGGAGCTGGAGTTCATGCAAGGCCTTTGCAGTTATGGGAGTTGTTTACTCTGCTTCTGAATGCGTCGTTGAGAAGGTTTCGATATTTTCTATACCTAGAAAAAAGAAAATTATATTTTCACAATATTAGGAAAAAAAAATTAAAAAAATCTGTTTAGTGATTTAACTGGTGGTAATTAATTTTGAAGGTACGGGCGAAGCACGATATTACAAATACAGTTGTTGCTGGTTGTGTAACTGGAGGCGCAATATCGGCTAGAGGTAATAATTTTTGACTAAATTCTGCTGATGTATTCGAATTTAGGGCAAATTACGGCCACCCCTGAGGTATGGCCAAATTACGAAAAAAAAACCCTCTTGTTTGGGTAATTACAGCTACCCCTCCTTTTAAATATGTTGGCGTACCGAAATTTCGGTTCGGTTTTACCGAATTAACATCCCTAAATTTACCTCTGGAGGAGTCTTTTCGTAAGATAATACATAGTTGAGGGGGTGGCTGTAATTACCCAAACAGGAGGGGGGTTTTCGTAATTTGACCATAACTCAGGGGGTTGGCTGTAATTTTCCCTAGAATTTATAGTTATCTGCTTGCTATATCGAAGTTCCTAAAGAGTAGACCTAAACTTTCGATCTCTTGTTCTCCCGTTTAGTAGCTATGAAGGGTTCATAATGTCGTAACAAACTCGTTTTATAATGCCAAGATAGTTTTCTTGTGCATGATTTAACTCTTTCATTAGTTGAAATGCAAAATGCTATTGCAAAACATGCGATTGGCGAACTTGCAATACTAATTTGTTTGGCGTATGGCATTGATTTCGGTAACTCGCGATTCTATTGACTTTCCTGTTACAAAGTTGACTATTCATCTCTCTCTCTCTCTATTGCGATGATTTTAATTCACTAAATCGAATTTGTTCCGTATCAGATTTATTTCTTGTACTGATTATCGAGAATGTCTGCTAAAATCCGTTTTGCTAATTCACGACTGTTTTGTGGTTTTCACTAGGTGGTCCGAAAGCAGCATGTGTAGGTTGTGCTGGTTTCGCTGCATTTTCAGTGGTGATAGAGAAGTTTCTCGACAGACATACTTGAAGTTACTTCCCTTGATTTTATCAATATAAGACGGGGGAATATATCAATATATATACTATCGCATTTTTCTCCAATATTTTAGTATCCAATTGATTCATCGAAAACTTACATCGAATCGAACAGTTTTGTCACTTCGATTGGGGGATGTAAAACGGGTAATTTTCCGAACTTTTTTAAATGTTTTGTTGGGTTGTTCATGAATTAGCAGCAGCCCCTTGAATACTTGAACCACTGAAAATTCAGCATTTACAATAAGATGACGTCATTCTTTTCATACCTGTAAACTGCATTAGTTTCTTCTGTAAAATCTCCTTAAAAGTTACGTAAACTTCAAGTTCTTAACGTATCCGCGCCTTGTGTCCGATACTCGAGGACACCTGTTGGACACCTTATGGGTCATTTTGCAATTTCTAAGAAGTTATAAACATGTTTGAATACCAAATTTCAAAATATTTTTGATGCTTCGCTAATTATTTTACATGCTTTAATAATCTATTGCAAATTGATAGTTGATAATAATATTTATTTTGAATATATTTTTGTATGAAAATATGTAAAAAGAATTTACATATAAATAAAAACTTATAGATGTTTATGTAACATATTTATAAATATACCTCTACACTTCTAATATTTATACATTTCTCTCAAATTCCGATATTTTCGCTTTTGGGAGATGCCGTTTCACGTGTATGTTTCCCCATTTCCCTGTAAGATGATAAGAATATTTTATTATAACTAATTCATATTTATAAATTCTCCACTACAATACAAAAGGACAAATAATTTACCTCACAAATATATATATATTCTAGGGTAAATTACAACCACCCCTGAGGTATGGTCAAATTACGAAAACCCTTTTCTTGTTTGAATAATTAAAACCACCCCCTCAACTCATCAAATTTAGTGGAAACTTCGAGATTATATAGAATATTATCACTTTTCTACCCGTTTTATCTTATTCGAACTCTACGTTTTTTGGCTTGTATATATCAGAATGTGATGCATCAGAAACTATATTTTTACACAAACGAGCACAAACTAGAACACATTTCACATAATCTAGGTGATTATGTTGAATTTGTCACCATAAAGGTGGAGGTGTAAGAAAAAATCATAGTTTAGGGGTAGATGTAATTATCCAAACAAAATGATTTTATTTCGTAAATTGACCATATCTGAGAGAGGGTGTTTGTAATTTACCCTATATTCTAATATAAAATTTTGGGCCAGAACTAACATGGCAGCCAGTAACAGCAACCTGCAAAGTGTGGGTTACGCCGTATAATAAGAGTGAGAAGTGGGCCGGGGGTTTGTATGCCGATCAAAGCCGCGGTGACGATAATTTGGCTAAATGGAGCCTAAGGTATCTTTTAATTTATTTTTTATTTTTTTTTTTACTTAAAATTTTTGAAACGATTTAAAAGAATCGGTGGTCTGGAAGCAATGTTGTTAGAACCGGACCGAACCGGCCGATCGGACCAGTTCGACCGTGACCCGACAATAAAGCGGTCCGGTCTAACATTTAAAACCAGAAAAATCGAAAACCGGGGTCAAATGACCGAAATCCGGTTCGACCGAGCAAAACCCGAGAACCGACGGGTCAGTCAAGGAACCCGGTTTTCGGCCAAAACCTCTCGAATCACTGTTAAGTTGGTTGTTTGTGGCTAAATTTGAGAGAACCTTCACAAACTTAGTAGTGGGTGGCCGGATCTAGTCATGAGTGGTCGAAGGATTGTGGGATATGATCATGGTTGATTGAATAGGGGTGGCCGATTACCGGATTTGAAGAATAAAAAATGGAAAACTATTAAGTATAAGCAATAAAATATAGTAAAAAGTGAGGTGATGTAGATAAAAATGAAAATAATAAATGGAAGATTAAAAATATAAAGAAAATAATATTTTTAAAACATTAAAATTAATAAAATAATGGCATATTAAAAAAAATCAAAAACCCGGTTGAACCGGTTCGACCTTAAAAACCCATGACCCAAATGGTTATCCGGTTCTATAGCCGGTCCGGTTCTGATAACATTGTCCGGAAGCATCACTTAATCGTGAGACGATCCACCTATGGACCATCTGATTAGGGTTCCGAGCGAGTCAACAACCGATTGATCTCGATTAATTAATAATTA